TATTGTTCTCAAAATATTTATTTACATTCAATATCATTTTCATTTACCTTCAAGATTCAACACATTCTATAGTGGTTCGTAACTCATTCACCTTTCTAACTTGTTTTCTTCCTATTACTTCCACACAAAAGTGAAAGAAATACTGGCCTACAAACAAATTCGCAAATTGACACACAAAGTGAAACTAATAATAATAGAATTCATAGTCTAAACACAGCCATTTTACCATCCAGTCGTAATTTTTGTACCCAGCGCTCCTATATTTTCCTCAAAAACTCATTTCATGTTCGAAGTCATTGGAAATTATCAAGTGGTCTGAGCAAATACAATATGAAGATCAACACCCGCTGCTATAAATCGATATAAATCAAACTCCACATAAGCTACCACTGTAGGGTACTTGATAGTAATTGTCAGTATAACAATGACAAGTACGATTAATTCTCTCCACAGTGACTAAGTGAAGAATGATAACCAAAAATCTCACATAAAAGAATGTTTATCCTTTAAACATAGAAGACATAACCACAATAGTCAATATCGTAAGTTGACAATAATGGAAAGTTCAATAAATTGGGTCATGATACCATCCACAAATTTACTCAAAATAAAAAGTAAGAAACTAAATCTACCCATGAGCCAAACTCTATTGCAAGGTTCCAGATAATTAAATTAAACCACTAGTTGAAGTCCTGTCCAAAAAAAGTAATAATAAACGTATATAGCATTTATAGTAAGTGATAATGTATCCAACGCAATAGTCTATTGTAGCTCCTCCATCCTTGCGCCGTGTCCAGTATTCATTTATCTTTACAAAGCGATTTAATGTAATAGGCGTAAAAAATATAATCCTAAGACAATATGTGATGAAAACATTTTCTTAAATTTTCAATACGGCCATCAAAATTATACAGATACTAAGATCGTAAACTAGAGTATACTAATAAATGATAAATTGACAAAATAACACAAGCCTAAACCTAGTAACCATTTCCAGGTCTGTATCTAAATACTCTTCTAGTATATTATAACATAGGAACAATGTACAAAAGGTTCTGCGATGCAGTTTGAATCTAAGCCGAAACTTAAAATTCTTCCTTCTTATCCAGATTTAGCCAGAATCGCCTAAATTAATATCCCCAATATGATGGTTATAAAAGGAAAAGGATTTGTGAAAGCATCCTGTCCAAACAAGAGGATGCTACCTATCTAGCTGCACCCTAAGACATCCTTTGCAGTTTTTAATATTGTAACTAATAAGACCTTTATGTTTACACATTTTCCCATGAGTGATCCACGATCCCATTGGTCTAACAACACAATATCACACGTAGTGATTAAATTGTGCGGTCCAGAAACAATTACACTGTACTGGTATTCCCACTTGCAGATAAAGGGGGAAAAAGTTGGAATAGAGTAATAAAGATAAAATTAAACCGTTTGAGTGTAACGATTAGTTCCTTTAACCATAGTCATGGGCGTACATCAAAGATATCAGCTGACCATCTCACGCAATTTAATTTAAACTATATTAGCTAATTAAGACTGCGATATTAAAAGCTCTGTTTCATTACATTCCCTCATCCTCGACTTTTACCATAATACTTTCAAATTGTTTTAGTTGAGTTATCACTGTTGAAAGTACCAAGACGAGCAGACAAAAAATACTTGCATCAAAATAATACTTTTGACGCCAGTAACAGTATTTAATTCGACATTTAAATTGTAGCAATAAATTACCATGGTATGGATTTATATATAAATTACAACATATTATTGTACCTATTAGACTTATTCGTTTTACTTTTTCATATACTTGACTTGTAAAATCTTATTGAAATTGCTGAGTATACATCAAAGGTAAGTGCCATTTGCCCAATTGAGAAAACTTCAAATATCCCGTTAAATATTAAAATCTAGAACATTACTGATTTTAATTTTCGTGTTTAGATCGAAATGAAGTCAAAGTTACATTTAATTTTTTGAAAAATTGTAATTAATAATATAATTAATGGCACAAAACAATAACCTTTTTTTGTCGTATACTCAAAGACTTTAGTTGCGTTTACCACCTCGTCCATCTAGGACAAAGAAATTAGGAAGACTACACAAAATGAATAATTAATAAAAGTAACGTCAGAATTAGAGAACAATATTGTACACTTACTTCTTACGGATGATACGGCCTTTAGCACTTATCCTATACATCTCCCGTGGCGATAGAGCTACGTATAATGTAAAATTGTTTTAATTCAAAGACAAAATTCGCATACTATATTAAAAAATTGCAATAGATTAAATATGCCTTATTTTTACGTGGCGAGACTCGCCATCAGGCCCGCTCTTCAATCTGACCAACGCAAAATTTCGCTAAGCTCCATTCATATAGCAGAGAAAGAAGTGTATTTCTTGCGAGAAAAACAGCGAATTTGGAATTAGCTAGAGGCGTCCATTTAGGCATTGAGAACCGATACTTTTACCATGCAAGTAAATCTACGGAACAATGGACAGCCGGCTTTACTCCCTCCGAAGATTTTTTCGCCCTTAAAAATCCACGGCTTCGATTCGGGTTGAACCCCGCCAACTTGCGATACAACAGTCCAGTACGCTAAACCGTGTACCACCGCCGCCGCCGCATATCTCAGCCTTAAAATCACGCCGTTAAATCACTGTATCTGTTAAATATATTACGTAAATATTTTACAATTGGGCTATCGTCTATTCGCTAGTTACGACAAATGCTTACAGTACACTAAAATTCAATATAATAAAATATAATTGTAATTAATACGACCTCTACATCTACGAATAATACGATTTCTCTATGTAAGATTTATGTTTAAAATTATATTTTAAAGTGAATTGATGAATTGTGGAACCATGCTGCAGGAAACGTTTTTTAAACAAGTGATTTTTAATATTTAATTTTTCGGTTAACAAACAACATTTTTTCACATTACTATGCTTGTTTTTCACCTATATTTTATTTCGGTATTTTTGACTTAGCCTTGTACACTGCAAACGAAGTGCGAGACGGAGACTATTTTCTCTTAAGTACTAGTCTGAAGCCGACCTAGATGGCCAAGGTGGCTAGAGCGTATGCTGACACAATGCCTCGGTCTGAAGGGGGGGGGTGCGCGTTCCGCCTTGGGCATGGTTGTTTGTCCCTTGTCTCTCATGCATGTATTGTCGCGGAGAGCCTCGCGTACAGCTGACCACAGATCTGTGAAGACCACAAAGAGTGTTAATGTGTACTGTATGGTCAAATATGCGTTCAATCGGGACGCAAAGGGTAACTGGCTGTCGGCTGGAATAAAGCCTTAAGAGGTATTAGCATAGTATGAATCAATAGAACAATGATCTTGGGTAATGAGGTTATTGAAGTAAGTACGTTTAATGTATGAATTAACAAATTTAATATGGCGTCTCGGCTGTCCCGTCTCGTGCATGGTTGTATTATGTGGATCACTGTACGGTTGGGTGTGTGTATTTCATCATTAATCATCATCACAATTTCACCCCGGGTGAACTACACTGGAGTGTGAGAATGAAATGAGTGTTAAAATGCTGATCCCTCAATAGAAACGTGCACCTAGCCCGAAATTCAAGACTGAGCCGCAATAGAATGCACTATCACATGGCACCACGATGGCCACTTTGCGAAACAAAAACAAAAAATCATAAAAATTGTCATTCAATTTAATTTTCCAACAAAGAACATCAAGCTCTCTATGGAAGGTCAAACGCCAACATTCGGTTGACAATACGCTTCACGCCTTCTTCAGATTCGCCCTTATTCCAGTGAATCCCAAACCTACACGTGCGTATGGGAGGGAGGGAGGGAAGGGGTCTGTGGCTCCCTTGGACATTTTCAAACGGGCCTGACAGACTTACGTAATACTAGTAACACATTTTAATGCCAAAATTTAATTATAAATCCCCCCCCCGTTTTTTAATCCGACAATTTGGGCATTTGAAGAAGAGGCTCTTCAAAACATAAAGCAACTGTAAAATGGTTCATAGAAATCAGTCGTATTTATTAATAGTATTACTGAAGTTATAATTTCTTTCGTTTTATTGACTAATTTCGAAAATCTTTTATATGTAAATAAAAATGTTTAATGTACAATAGTGTCCTGAAATGAACATAGTTGTCCCCTCTTGTTTTAGGCTGTGCTTGCCTATGCTCTCACGTTCAACCACAAAATGTTTAATGCTATTTTGCAACATGGGAAAACTACATTTGTTGAAGTCGACTCGGAAACGATAATCGCCCCGCCGGCAACGCCGCCGGAGGCGTCTGACATTCGTCGCTTATCGCTCACCGCGCACGTACAACTTCCGAGCCGCCAGAGAAGCCGCCGGTCGGCCGGGTGCAGGGGAGGGGAGGAGTGCAGAGGGCGCGAGGGGCGGGACGTCCTGCTACCGGCCAAGCGCATGGTTGGGCAACGGCGGACGCGCGCCGCGTCCGCGGGTTGGCTGTGTGCGAGCGTGTGCGTGGCGTGGTGTGGCGTGCCTGGCGTGGGCGTGGCGTGGGCGTGCTGCGTCCGTGGCGTGGCGTGACGGTCTCTGCTCGGTGGTCGTGGCGTGGCGGTCGTGCGTGGCTGGTCGTGCGTGGGGACGTCGCGTGGCGTGGCGTGCGAGTGCTGGCGTGGTGGCGTGCGGTCACGTGGGCGTTGGCCGTCCGTGGGTGGCGCAGACGTGGGCATGTGTACGTGACGTGACGTCGCGTGGTCGTGGTCGTTCGGGGTGGCGTGCACGGGCCATGCCGATGGTTCGCGTGACGTGGCGTGGCGTGGCGTGATATAGTGTGGCGCAGCGCATGTGATCTGGACGCGTCGTAGGCCTGGCATGGTCTTTGCGGGCGCGGTTGCGCGAGTGGGCGTGGCGCCGGCGCGACGTTGGTGTGGCGCAGCGCGGCGTAGTCTGACGCGTCGTGGCGTGCATGGTATGGCGCTTGCGTGGCGCGATGCGGTGTGGCTTGGCGTGGCGTGGCGCTCATGGCACCGTGTTGTGCTGGAGCGGCGCCGCGAGGCCGGCATTGCGTTCGCCTCGCGACAGGAAGCCTGCCGCTGGAGGGGGGCGTGGCGGAGGAACCGGAGGCAGACTGGTTACAGGCGCTTCGAGTGGCTTTGACGCCGGACGGCAGCGGGAAGCGCTCCTCGGAGCACTATGGGCTGGCGGAACACTCCAATGCGCAACGGTTTGCTAGTGAGTAGAAAGAGGTTAACCGCTTGGTTGCACACCGGTGTACGCTAGTGTCGTATGGCCATCTGCGAGAAGAGACATCACTGAGCAATAGAGGGCGCATGGTAGGACTGTCATTACGTTTTGAAGTGAGAGAGAGAAGAAGAAAAAGTTCTCGAGAAGACACCACACAGATAAAAAATCTTAACAGTAGGGGTGGTGCACCACAGTGACTGATTCACTCTCCTGTTGAACAAGTTCCGTTATTCCTGCCGTCGAGTTAATAGGAATTGTACTTAAATGACAAATGGCCTTCAGACCTTTCTAATGAAATAGTTGAAAATACATTCGTATCATTGTGGCTCATTGAGATTCCTGCACAAAAGCCGGGGATATTTCTTGTGAGTGGTGAGACATTCACGGGAGAGATCAGTAGCAGAATGACTACTCATTGAAGTATACTTTGAGAAACGACACTAGAAGTATAACCACTGTTATGGTTACCGAGGACAAGGATTGAAGACATCTTAAAAGTAAGTGTTCATATAAAAATTATACCAATATTTTACAGAACGTAGCTGAAAAGTATTTGTGGAACACCATCGTACTAATTCAAACCAGGAGTGCTAACATACAACATTTTATTGGAGAAGTAATGTTTTACTTTATCATTGAAATATCGACAAGAATACTTATTTATTGGATTGAGAGTAAAAGTAAACATTTCGCGTTACTAGAAATGGAAACCTAGTTTTAAAATGGGTCTATGCGTGGTTTAATTAAAATAAACCCTCAGCTTTTACGTTCGTAATTGTAATTTGAATTTTTCATATAAATTGTAAGGTTTGCATATTTATTTATGTCAATAACAATAATGATAATAATAATAATAATAATAATAATAATAATTCCTTTAAGACGAGGGAAATAGTATCCGATGTTAAGACAAAATTTTTACGCCTTGAATAATGAATAACGAGGTGATCGGATGATAATGAGGGATGAAGGGAGAGTCACAAGTACGACCATGCGTACGCATGACCCGATCCTTCAGTCTCTTCTGCACAGACGACCATCTGTGCCATGGGGCCGGCTTTATATTATAGTATAATCTAAGAATAGGCTATTTAAATCAATATGTGCAATGTATTAAACAGCAAATTATTTTTTCAATAAAACTTCAACATTTGTGTTCATGCCAGTCCGGATGGCCGAGATCGCTAAGGCAATAGTGCCGTAGCGATCTCGCACAGAAGGATCGCGGGTTCGTGTCCCGCCTCGAGTATGGTTGTATTGTGTTCGTCTTTTCACCCCCCGTCATCATACCGTGTTATCCTCTTAGTTACCATACCGTTATAGTCAATAGTGATCGGAAATGACCTAGTAGTTGATGCGATCTTAAATAACAAAAACAAATTGTGTTCATAACCACTGTCTCACATAAAAATAACAACAGATCATTCACTAGTTCGAGAGATCTGAAATTATTTTGTGTTTGGGATGAGTAAATTAGTCGCGAAAATTCAGAAAACGACACAACTAATGGAATAAACGTATTTGTATTAATAATGGGTTCATAGGTATCTGCATTTGTATAAAAGTCAGTAAAATTTTGATACTGCTGGAAATCAGTGTTGCCATATTAGGTCTTTTCCCCCAAATTTAGGTTTTAGTGGATGTTTTAAGGGACAAATTTATTTTTGGTTTTTGTTGAGGGTTTTAATTGACTTTTTTATGTGTTAATTTTTTTAAAACATCGACTGTGTATCACAAAACACAAAATAATTCCCCTTGAATTTGGTGGAGATATTTATTCAAATATAACTAAGCGAATTAAATACCCTTGTATGCGGGGGGGGGGCTCTCTTGGTGGTGGTCTCTATTTCGTCCCAACTTCGTCAATGTTAAAGACGTTTAACAACGAAAACATTGCGAGCCACAAAATATTGATGTAAGTGCTGTTGATTTTATGTTTGAAATAAGAATGGATAGGTAATTGTATATATCTGTTTATTTTCATAAAAAATGTTCCTTAAACACCTGTGATTTTAAGTGACACATTCCATATATGATTTCAATTTTCTATTTTTTATCAACTGTTTTTTTTTCTACCCCACATTTAAAGATAGTACATTTAACAATGCATTTGAAAAAATCCTTATAATTAACTGTTGTAATATTTTCAGTATTTAGAAATTTTTAATAATTTCGTGGTTTATTTTAAATTTTAGAGGGTTTTGCCACTTGGAGATAACTAGTTGGAGGCATCTGGCAACGCAGCAGAAACTATCTTGAAAATGTAGAGTAGGTTGCGTTAAAAAATCTTGAGCTTCAATATTGAATGTGTTGGTAGAAAAAAATTGAACTTTGCCACGATAAAACAAAAAAACGCGAGACATACTATTATAAAAAATATAAATCAATTGAGTTAATAATCTAAAATTGATGAATGGGTTTGAAATAGGTAATATTAGATTATCTGTAATAATATACTTGTCTAAACGTCTAAAAAATTAGTTTTGCAATTTTCGAAATTCTAGGAGCAAGAATGAACATGAAACGTACCCAAAATATTACATAAACTTTACTTTATTCGGGCAACAAATGTAAAGAAAAAATTGTAGCCCTATTTTAAACATTTAGTTGTACGTACATTCTTTTTTTAAAATATTGTCACGATTTCGTACAAAATTAAGTGAAAACTTTTCGTTTTCAAAACAATATTCATGACATTATATAAGGATCTAATTAGAACAACAGATTTCTTACAGAAAAATCTATATTTTCAACACTGATGTAAATAGAAGGTGGTTCACAAATTTTAAACTTTTGCAATTTTGAAAATTTGAAATGTTTTCATGAAAATCGAACGCCAACGTATTCATCATACATTCCTGTAATTCAGCAAACAAATTTAAAGAATAAAATTGAAGATTTTCTATAGAAAATTGGGAAAATAACCTAGGAGTTCATGAAAATACCTTCCAAACCATTAAAATTAGTGAGGCTAAAATAACCCATGCATTTTCGCATTACCTTTAAAGGGTATGGAATACTTGTATTCTACATTCAGCTGCAAAACCGATACCAACCAGCAAATTTTGTTTCAGCGCGCTTCGCCGGAATTTGATCTCAGGTCCATAGAATTCAAACTCTAATTACGTTGTCCCTACACCACCAGGTTCACAGTTAATGACTCCCTTCCCTATGCTTAAAACATTTGAACATATGCATTTGCGGTTTCAAAATTTTCTTATACATTATTTTAAAATATAATTTTAAAAAACAGATTTCATTAAGCAAATCAGTCTTATCAATTGGTATCTAATACGAAGAGTTGTCAGTATCTACGATTTATGGTTCCTTAACACCGACAAAGCTTCAAAACGTGGTGTGTCTGGCTGTCTGTCTGACCGCTCGTATGTAAACAAGATTAGCGCGTAAACGACTCGTAGGATTCTTAAAAGACTGTGAATACTTCCTCATTGATCTAGCTAGCCTTCAAATCATACTATTTTCAAAAGAATTCTTTAAATTTTGATGGTACTTACATGTAGCACTTGGAACATTTTCAAAATCATCTCAAAAATTGCTCTAATTTTTCTTTATATTTCTAGCAAGAATAGATTGGAATAAAGGTGTCAATTTTCCTGAATAATCCAAAAAGGTAAAAGTTTGGAATTATTTGTGGAAGAAAATAATGTTATTTCTATTAAAATATATTGGTTTATAACATACTTCAATATTAAAATTTACAATAAGAAAAATGTATGAACAATATTAAAAACGCTAATAAGCTACACCTCTATTCAAAATATATTCCATATATCTTTAAGTGCCAGGATTTCAGAAACATGAAATATCTCATTTGACGAAAACTAGACATCTTGGTAAGCCATCTCGTTTTCTTATTGTAATGTTTTTTAAAATTAAAATTACGTCATGTACAGTTTTTCGAAAATAAGCGAGTAATTTTCGAGTAATTTTTGCCTAAAATAAAAAGCATATATTTTCTAAAAAAAATGGCTCCAAATATTTTTTTTTAAATATGCCCCCCTCGGATAGAGCAAGGGACTCATTTTTCATTTTAGTTGAACTTTCTGAAATTTCGAATATTGCAAAAGTTATTTCACCGAAAATGGGACCTGCTCATTTCCCTTACAATCGGGTAATATCGCTTTGGTGAAAATAGCCGAAATGATTTAGGCGTTAGTGTTGACCAAAAACAAACTGAGGAGCTAAGGTTTTGCCATCAACCTATTTACGGTTGAGGGCACACAAAACGTAGATTACAACTATACAATGTATTAGATGAAATTATTTTCTACATATGGAAACAATATATGTCCACTTTTTCCATGCCCGGGACACACAATATGAGTTTTAGTCGAAAATTGCCGATTTTTGCGGCAACATTACAATATTCTCTCTCTCTCCCTGTCTGTCTCTCTGTCTGTCTGTCCTCTGTCTCTCTGTCTGTCTGTCCTCTATGTCTGTCTGTCGTCTGTCTCTCTGTCTGTCTGTCTCTCTGTCTGTCTGTTTCTGTTCTGTCTGTCTCTCTGTCTGTACGCTCTCACTCACCTCCTCTGCTGTCTCTCGGTCTGTCTGTCTCTCTGTCTGTCTGTCTCTCTGTCTGGTCTGTCTTCTCTGTCTGTCTGTCTCTCTGTCTGTCTGTCTCTCTTCTCTCTGCTCTCTGTCTCCTGCTCTCTGTTCTGTCTGTCTCTCTGTCTGTCTGTCTCTCTGTCTGTCTGTCTCTCTGTCTCTCTCGTTGCTGTCTGTCTGTCTCTCTGTCTGTCTGTCTGTCTCTCTGTCTGTCCTTGTCTCTCTGTAGCTGATATGCGGCTCCTGTGGCGTGTCTAACGGTCATCGTGACTGTGCACTGTGTCGGCATCCCTCTACATGTCTTGGCTCTCGGGTTTTCCTGATACATCCGATCGTAGTCCGTGTGTCGTGATCTTCGTGCGTAACTAGTATTCCTTGTCTCCGAAATACACTCTCTTTCGGTGACGGTGGATC